ACTGCTGAGGGGAGCAGTGGGTGGGTCAGGAGAGGTCTGCCGCGCCATGTGGGTCACCTCTGGGGCGGGGATTGAACTCATGCTGAAGTGGATTTAGCTTTTTAGTGATTTGCTTTAACCTGCTGTGCCACCAGGGAGGGCCCCCATGTTGCTCTTAATAGCAAGATATTCTTTTTGTGTCTAAACAATTTTCCACTGTGTGGTTATAGTCAGACACATCACTTAACAAGGGGGACGCTACACTCTGAAAATGTGTCACTAGGTGATTTTGTTGTGTGAGCATTGTAGCATGTACTACACAAACCTCTATGGTTCTGCTTACATGTAAGCTGTGTGGTACAGCCTACCACTCCTTCTTTGGCTATGGAAACATGCTATGCAGTGCATTACTCTATACTACATTATCTTTATCCATTGATCCATCATTGGGCACAATGTTTCCTTTCTTGGCCATTGTGCAGATGCTGTGATGAACATGGGGGTACAGATATCTTTTGGAGTCAGTGTTTTCTTTTTTGGATAAAATACCCAGAACTGGAATAGCTGAATCAAGGAAAAGCCTGTTTTTCACAATAGCTTTACTACTTTGCATTCCCACCAATGGTCAGAGTAACTGAATGCCTTGCCCGAAGTCATGCGGTGAGGGAGTTGGCATGAGTCGGTGGGGCTCTTGCCTTCCAGGGGGGACTCTGGCCGCTGCTCTGAAACAGATCTCAGGAAGGGCTGGCAGGTGATTGGAGCTCCAAGGTCTTAGAGTCCCCAATCTCTTCCCAGGTCCAGGAGTTGCAAGATTCCTTGCTGAAGCTAGAGCCCTTCCCACCTCCCCCCCAAGGCCAAGGAGGGGGCTCGGGCAGTGGTTCTAGCAGCTCTGGGGCAGACGGAGAACCCTGGGGGACACAGGTGAGTGTGGGAGACTCCAGTCATGCTCTTAGGATGAAATTCACATCCTGGCAGTGGGACTTAATAGCGTCTGGGGCTGGAAAAGGCCTCTCTGTGGTGACCTGGGTGAATCCAGCCTCTTCTTCCTAGCAGGACCCCTTCTCCCTGGCTCACCCGCTGCTCCGGCGTCTCCGGAGTGACTGCAGCACCCAGATGGCTGGTCCACTTCCCACTCGGGCCCTTGCCCCTGAGATGCACATCATGGAAGCCCAGGTGGAGCAGCTCCGGGGGTAAGAGCTGCAGATGCTAAGCTCCTAAGGACACCAGCACCTCCCCAGCTGAGGGGCCGGGAGTCTGCAGCTGGAGCAGAAATAGAGAAGAGGTGAACATCAGGTACTGACTGCCCAGTCAGGGGCTCACTTCCCTTTTCCCCACCTTCGGAGGCAGGAGCATTGAGAAACTCAAATGCTTCAACCGTCTGCTGTCAGCTGTGCTCCAGGGGTACAAGGGCCGGTGCGAGGCCCTCAGCATGCAGCTGGACCAGCGGGAGGCGGAGGCTACTGCCCTGCAGCTGGCCCTGCAGTACAGGTCTGTGTCTGCATGTCGGTGATGTCGTGTTTGGCAAGGGAATGGCACTCACATCCACAGAAAGAGGCAGGACCCTCACTTCCTGCAACCATGGAAATGAAGGCAATTTGAGGCCAAGGGTGCTGAAGCAGTTTGCAGGCTCCCGAGGGTAGCAGTGGAGGGAGGAGGGAGGGGCCTGGGGTGGAGGCGTCACCTACACAGCAAGACGGGTGGGAGTGCTTAGCATCTGTCCCACAGTGAGAACTGCGAAGAGGCGTATGGGGCCCTGCTCACTCTCCAGGAGGTGGGCTCAGGAGCAGAAGTGCCCATGGGAGATGTGGAGGCAGCTGAGAAGGAAGCCCAACGGCTGCTGGCACAAGAGAAGGCCTCCCTGGAAGGACAGACACTGCTGGACCCACAGCCCAGGTACCCCTGGAAGGCTGGGAAGCTGGTGGGTCAGCGAGGGCAGCCCTGAGTGAAGAAAGAGGCTCTCAGAGCTAGTGTGTTGGGGTGGGCATTACTCACCATGGTTGGCAGGACGCCTGACTAGAGTGGGCTGGTTGCTACTCAACAATCTCGGCTTGGTGATTAGCAGACATTGGACTCAGTATAGGACCACCAGTGTTTTCTTGAAGGTGGATTTGCTGATTAGAACTAACATGATGGTGCTTCATGGTTTGGCCTCGTGTGATACCTCCTATGGTTGGCATGATTTTCCAAACAGGGTTCAAAGATCAAGCAGAGGTGCCTGTTGGGTTGACTTGAAGGCATCTACCGCATTGTAATGTGTGATGGTGCCTGTTGTTTTGGGGTGATGTTGTCTACCATGTTGATGTGAGGAATGGTGCTTGTTGGTGCATTGGCATTCAGCGTGTTACCTTAGTGGATGATGTACCCATTGGGGATTACATAATGGAGCCCACTATGTTGCTATGAACATGCCCAACATAGATACCATATGAGCCATCATGGTAAGACTGAAGATAGTGGCGCCCATGAGGATTGGCATGAAATCATCACAACCATGCTCATCAGTGTTGACTTACGCCCCTCTTGTTTCCTGTAGCCCAGAGGGTAGCAGTGTGGATAGGCCCACGCCGCAGGAGGTGGTTTCCCAGCTCCGAGGCTATGTCCAACGTCTCCAGGAGCACCGTGCTCTGGTGAAGATTCCCCCAGAGCCAGGCCCCACCTTGGCACCCATGTCCACTGTACCCCGTGCAGAAGCCATGGTGCAGGCCGTTCTGGGGTCCCAGCCTGGCCCAGCTCTGCCCCAGTTGAAGAAGACGCAGATCCAGCAGGACCTGGCAGCCACACGGGTATACATAAACAGGGGTTACGTGTCAGCCTTTCTTGGTGGGACAAAACCTCCTGCTGAAGCTGAAAGGGATGTGATTGAGGGACCAATTAGCACAGCTCCAGGAAAGTTTTGCTGGGTTGAGGGCAGGCTTCCTAGAGGAAGGAGAATTGGAGTTGGGGTTTTGGAGGGTGAATAGGAGTTTGTCTCAAAAATTCCATTTCTCATCAGGCTCTGAACCTGGGTTTCCACAATTCCCTTCCTATAGAAAAAAGATGAGGGCCTTCCCTGGTGGGCACAATAGGTTAGGATGCAGCACTGCAAGCTGGCCATAGCTACTTCAGTGCAAGTTTGATCCCCAGTGCTGAAGGTGACCCACGTGGCGCAGCAGACCTCTCCTG